AACTGATGGTAGCGAGGTTCACTGTCCAGTGACACACTTGCGTTAGTATCTCATTGAAATTGTCCATTAAAATCGAATTGTACCTCAATGTGTTGCCAGATTTAAAAATGTACTTATATATTTTATAAATGGCAATATTATTATTTTTTTTTGTATTGAAATTGTATAAGAACCTCTGTTGAATTTTGTTTTTTTTTATTGCACGATATTATATAATGTTTACCTAATTAAAATGAAAATTGTTATTAATACAACACAATTATGTATGAGTTATGAATTATTATTATCTATTATATTTAACAGTTACAAACATTATTTTTAAGAGCATTTATTTCGATTATTGCGTAAATAAATGAATTTTACATATTCATTAAATATTTTGTAGTTTTCATTTTACTCCTAAACCAAAAAAAAAAATTAAATTTTAAACGGTTTTTTATGGCCTAAGCCGGTAAACGAGCTGACGGATCACCTGATGGTACGCAATCGGCGTCGCTCATGGACACCCAACACATCAGAGGTGTTACAAGTGCGTTACCGGCCTTTTGGGGATTAGGAGTTTGAGGATTGTTGGGATTCAGGGATTGAGGAGATTAGGGAAGGGTGGGGGGAAACGAAAGGGCTTGATTGGTAGAATAGAGATTTTTTTTTTTTAAAGATCCTTACCCCACATAAGGATTTTCTCCTGTGTCGTGGGTGCGTTTACAAACATACAAGTTCACATACACAAAGACACCCAGACCCGAAACAACAATTTGTGGATCACACAAAGTGTTGTTCCGTGCGGGAATCGAACCCGCGACACGTTGCACGGCAGCCAGTTGCCCAGCCACCGCACCAACCGTGCAATCAGCTTATTGAAACCGTTTAACATATATTTTTTTTGTATTCATCATCATCAGCCTAATCTCGTCCACTGCGAGACGCGGTCTCCACTCCAGAACACGTCTACCCCAACGGTTATCGGTTCTTCCACAAATGTGACCGGCCCACTGCCACTTCAGCTTACTGATCCTTTGAGCTACGTCGGTAACTTTAGGTCTTTATCGGATTACCTCGTTACGGACCCTATCCTTCAGAGAACCTCCGATCATAGCCCTCTCCATAGCTTTCGTCAACTCTACCGCAAAGCCTGAAGACAAAAGCCTTCAACGAGTGCGTCCTACCTGTAATGACATACGGAGCCGAGACGTGGATACTGACAGTGCGATTGGACGACCTATTTACGGTGACGCAGCGAGCTATGGAGAGGTCACTCCAGATCACTCCTTTTTTTAAATCATCAAATGACTTCTTACGCCTGTAGAAAGTGGTTTATTTTGACCAATCATAGCAGCTGTCAAATATTGAACATACAATGGTGTGGTACTAGCTAATTTCCGATTGTACAACGAACTAGAGGCGCAGTTTATTTAGTCAGTAAGAGTCTGACACTCCCTCCCGCCTCACCCAGGCCGGAGTAGTCATTCGATGACTTCCCCTTTTAAAAAAAGAGCCACACATCAGCGCCATCTGTTGACCAACAATACAATGTACAACAATAGTGGGTTGGTCATCGGGACATCTCACTACAATTGGGTATTTTCCTTAACAAAAAATAAATTATTTCGACTGTTCAATACAATTGAATATTAAAAAATAATCACACTTTGATTAATTGATTTTATGACTAACTTAATTTTAGTATTTTTCCAGCATTCTTAAGAAATAAGTATGCTGTTTGACGTTAAAAAACGTGACGGCAAAATACAAAATCTCGTACAAAATTCATATAGAAAACTGTCGTTTATGACAGTTCGAAAAAAGTATTGAATTTGACTAGTTGGCAAGTACCCAATTTGAATATTCTTCTAGGATGTAGAAAAATTAAGATAGTAATATTGGAGATTCAAGCATTTTATTTTTAAACACACATGCAATACATTCAGATCTTAAAAACACACTACAGAATAACTTTACGTTCTTAAAACGAAATAATAAAGACATACTACTTATTAAACATCATTAGTTTACCTTATTATTTTTTAAAATGTTGTCCCACACTAGGATTTTCTCCTGTGTCGTGTGTGCGTTTACAAACATACAAGTTCACATACACATCACACACAGACCCGGAACAACAATCTGTGGATCACACAAAGAGTTGTTCCGTCCGGGAGTCCAACTCGCGACAGGTAATTTACTTTTGGTTATAATTATAATAATTATAGGGTTTTTGTCAACATCAATGTCAGAGTTTCATATTCATATTAGTAGTTTTAAATACTTCATAATACAATCACTACAACTTATTATCTAATACTTACTTAACTATTGTCCACGAAGACATAAGGTTTAATAAAAGATGATACATTAATACTGTAGTTATAATGATTAAATATCTTTTACATAGATAAAAAATATAGCGACCATCTTGCATGACGTTCTTGGCCGTTGGCCAGGAAGAAAACAACGACTGTGGCGCCTGGCTACTATAGACTTACACGCAGAACACACACACATTGACACGAAGGACATCGGTCATTTTGTTAAGTCTAGTAACGTGGTAACACACTACACACGCACACATAAATACACCACTGACGTTTTGGTGCTTCAGTCATTTCTAAATGACATTACGTCCGCCATTTTTTCAACGGGTTATAATTGTTATGTCATACTCTATACTACACACGGCTTCACATCGAACTTTACATAACCAGTATAAACTGAACGTTAAATGTGCGGAAAGATGATGCGACGCGACACCCGGATAAACTGGTTCTTTTTTTATGGGACAAGCCCGCCACAACCTCCCAAAACCGTTGCAACTCCTGTAAGCCAGGATCTACAGTAGATACAACCATGAAAACACCGGAACATTGAAGTCCGGCGCGGCCCAGGGACATGAGTAACTGTCTTGGTTCCCGCAACGAAGTGAATCAGAAGATAATATAAGAGGAGAAGAAAACACTGTAGTTTCCACTTCCCTCGGTGAATTACTGCAGGATAATAAACTGGTTCTGTATACATTGATGTGCGGCCGTGTGTTCAAGGTGATCAATGTTTTTTTTTATTATTATTATAATGCAATGTGTGTAGACCCTAAGTAGGCGTTTCTTAATTTAAGAAAGAGGGGAAAGCCGTAAAAACGGCTTTATAAAAAATAGGGTAGATGACGAATTTTCATTTCAATGTCCGTCTGGTAGATTATTTAAAAACATTAGACACGTATTTCTTATTTTCTTACTGAAACGAATACTTTCGGGGATACATTGATTTGAAATGTCGCGTGACGTCACTTCTATGTACGTTTTATACGTAGAAATGACGTAGCTAGCTCCCACTCCTTACATTTGATTCGTTTTGTCTAAGTATTGTTTTGTTATACGACAAAATAAAAAGATACGTGACTAATTTTTAACTATAGAATAAAATGGAAGTTTGACAGTTTTTAGTATGGAAGAATTGTCAAATGTACAAAATTATTCATTAAAATTTATCAGGCATTGAAAAAATCGGCTCTTGTATTATTTTTTTTCTTCTTTGGCAACCGAGTCTCCAAAACGTATTGTCGACTACACTGCCAGTGTCGAGTGGTGACGGCAAAATTAATGAACCGTCGAACTTAACTTTGCGATAGTTTTTAGTTTTAATTACCTAACCGACGGACTAATTAGATTTTAATTTTGATACCCCGTCATCATCCCTATTGTAGAAAAAATAACAGAATTTAATTTTCGTTAAAAAGACGAGGATTACTTACTTGGATTTCTTTAAAAAATACTATAAAACCATGCTCAATAAAACCAAGGATACACTAGGAGACATAATAAGTCCCACAACATGATTGTATTGACGACATGTCGACCGACGCCTGCTGATTTTCCCCGACATCCTTACTATAATATTATAAATCGGAAAATGAGTTTGTTTGTTTGTTTGTTTGTTCCGATTTCACGCCGTAACTACTAAACCGATTGCTTTGAAATTTTGCAGACGTAAAGTTAGAAGTCTGGATTAAATAATAGGGTACTTTTTATCCCGGAAAATTTTGATATTCCCGAGGGAAAACAAAAGTATTGGTATAGATGGAGCTGTGTGTATTGGTATATGTCACATAGGCTACTTTTTATCCTTTTGTGACGCGAGCAAAGCTAGTATTACTATAAGGCGACGATGCGCGCTTATGTCCACAGCGACATTGATGTTGCTAGACATGTCGACCAGCAACGTCGCGCTACTTCACCCGACGTCGCCGGCGACACGTGCCGCAGGAAATATTGTCACCTAGTGTATCTTCGGTTTTAATGTTTACAAATGTCTAAATAAATTATTATGTTTTCGGCTTACTCACGTAATAATTTGACGAGGAACTCGACTAGTTTCAAGCCATGCTAGAGGCTCATATTCATGAGCAGCATTTCGCGATCCGCGACGCGGCGACTGTCGCGCTGCCACTCTAGTAATTACTCTCTCTACTCTATTACGCGAGTAAGCCGAAAACATAATAATTTATTTAGTATGTTTCATGAAAGTTACAATACAAATTTACAAATGTCGAATAATTACGAATATTTGTTGAATACCATTAATTGTGACGTCATAACAATTTATACCTACGTCAAAATATAACATATACAGGTATCTACTTGAAGATAATACATAAGTCATTTATTTTTAAAATGTCTAAATCTAGAGCGATTACGTATTCTTATCAATATTCGGTTACATTTATAAAATACGGAAAAAACATCAATATGAATGAAATTGCCGCACGCTGGCAGCACTGTGCTAGTTTTGCCTGATGGTAAGCAATCGGCGCCGCCCATGGTGACCCGCAACACTAGACGCGTTACATTACAAGTGTTGTCTTTTCGAGGATTTGAGGATCGGGTATAGAGGGAGAATTGGATGTTAAGGACCTGGGAGGGGGGAGGAATGGGTCACGTCACACGGTGAAACAAGGAAACGTTGTTTCTGAGGCGGTGGTATTACTTCGGTCGAGTTGATCCAGCAGCTTAGGCGCAAGGCTCTCCATCATGCTTCGAGTCAGCCATATTGACCTCTTCTTTCATATTTCCAGTTGGTACTGTACCTGTAAAGAAAGATAGAACACGTTGTAGTTAATGGCGTACGCTTTTATGTACTAAATGTGAAAATCAATAAATAAATAGTGTTATAAGTAAACTTCTCCGTGTGAGAAGAGACTTTGCTCAGCAGTGGGCATTTATAGGCTGTTGATGATAAGTAAACTGCACCGGCGTTGGTGCGGTGGCTTTGCAACCGGCTCACGCACAACATGTGTTAGATAGCGGGTTAGATTCCAGACAAACTCTTTGTGTGATCCAAAAATTGTTGTTCCAGGTCTGGGTGTCATGTGTATGTGAACTTGTATGTTTGTAAACGCACCCACGACACAGGAGACAATCCTAGTGAGGCCCATGCTATTTTTAAAAGAAAAACAAAAACTTTAATTGCACTTAAAATAAAATCTATTGATTGACGGACTCGAACACTGCCTCGTTGGCCGAGTGGTCGCAAGTGCGACTGCCGGGCAAGGGATCTCGGGTTCGATTCCCGGATCGTGCAAAGTATTACTGGGTTTTTAAAAAAATTCTAAGTAGTGGCACGGAGTCTGGAATTGTGCCCGGTATATGGCAATAGGGTCACCCCCTATTACATGGGACTCATAACATAAATAGTGAAAAGTAGGTGTTACATTGTACAGTGGTATAATATGCACCTCTGCTTACCCCTTCGGGGATAAAAGGCGTGACGTTATGGACTCGAACACAGACTTTTACATGACAAGAAATTTTTAGAGATAAAACATGGCGTCGTAGCTTAGAACCGCAAAGATTTTGCGACATGTTCACATACGCGTCGGTGGTCGGGGCGCTGTCTCTCTCCATTCGCACCCCCTGCGCATGCGCGCGGTATTGCGGCCGGCGGAAAGGGATGGTCGCAATTGCGATCGATTACAATAACACATAATAAAACCATAGGCTGTATTCATTTTTAAAACCCGCGTTACAATAGTACTTTAAGTTGCAAGCGGTTCGCGAGCTGCGCATTGGCTTAATATATTTATATATTTACTATCTTTTGCCACCAGCTTCGCTTGTATTCCCATGGGATAAGAACATAACATAACATCACGCCTTTTATCCCTAAAGGCAGAGGTGCACATAATGCCACTGTACAATGTAACACCCACTTTTCACTATTCATGTTATGAGTCCCATGTAATAGGGGGTGAGCCTATTGCCATACACCGGGCACAATTCCAGACACCGTGCTACTACTGGGATTTATAAAAAAAAACCCAGTAATAGTTTGCCCGACCCGGGAATCGAACCCGGCAGTTGCACTTGCGACCACTCGGCCAACGAGGCAGTTGCCTGTTATTGTAGACTATAATCTATCCCTGTTCCAGATTTCATCCCGATCAGTTCAGCCATTTCGTCGTAATTGAGACACAATCATACACACAAATTGACAAACTTTCGCATAGGTAAAGTATAATATTAGAAACATGAGATACCTACGCAAAAATACCGCTCCAGGTCTACTTCCGCACGGTTTCACACGCTCTGCTCAGCTCCTATTAGTCGTACCGTGATGTTTTATAGCCTATAGCCATCCTCGATAAATGCGCTATCCAACACAAAAAGAATTATTCAAATCAGACTTGTAGTTACTGAGATGAGCGCGTTCAAACAAACAAACAAAAATACAAACTCTTCCGCTTTATATGTATAATAAGTAAGTATAAGATAAGATTTGCACGCTACAAAGTAAACTTATTTTAATTATCACCATCAGCGTATAAATGGCCACTGCTAAGCACAGGCCTCCTCTCACACGGAGAAGGTTTGAGCACGCTTGCCCATTGCGGGTTGGCGATTTCAAACTTAAAATTAGAAATTATAAGCCCAGGTTTCCTCACGATGTTTTCCTTCACCGTATACATAATCTTAAACTTAAATTACAACTGAACAAAATGGCTTACCATCCTCTTCGGCAGCAGGAGCTGCAGGAGCATCAGGAGCTGCCGGAGCATCAGAACCTGCAGGAGCTTCAGGAGCATCAGGAGCATCAGGAGCATCAGGAGCTGCAGGAGCATCAGGAGCTACAGGAGCGGCAGGATCAGCAGGCGCAGCAGGATCAGCAGGATCCGCAGGAGCTGCTGGATCAGCAGCATCAGCGGGATCAGCAGTATCAGCAGGAGCAGCAGGAGCTGCTGGAGCTGCTGGAGCAGCAGGATCAGCAGCAACTTCAACTGATCCCGCGTTGGCAGACGTTTCCCCTTCGCCTCTGCGCCTCTCCTCGTCTTGATTACAATTATTGGAATGCTGGCCTTCGTTATTGGTCCCATCTTTTGATCTTTTAGCTTCCGGACCAGTGGCTGGAGCAGGCATCATACGTTTTCTTCTCTCTACAATCTGCTCAGCCAATGGCGTGTGGCGGAATGACGACAGGTGTGCAGTTTGTCCACACATGAAGCACATTTCATCGGGTTTGGGCGGGGGGGTATTTTTCGGTAAAGCGAACATGCCCCTTAGTTCTTTATCCATTTTAATCCTTGTGTCAATGATTTTAAACATTGCTAATTTCGAGACGCGAGCATCGAATTTCGCCATATGTGACAGCACTATAGCGATTATTATCTCCTCTCTGGTCAGATTCTCCCATTTGGACATCAGCAACGCTGTAATATTCTGAGCGTAAGAAGTCAGACACTGATTATCCTCAATTTTACAGTCCAGCAAATGAATTAAATAGCTCGCTGGAGGGATTTGACTATCATTTGATTCACAATATTTTTTAAAGAATTTGTACTTAAATCTATTCCAGGTTATACCCGGAGTGGCGAACGAGGAGTACCATGTAGCAGCAGTTCCTTCGAGAGCGTGACTCAGAGCTATAAATAGTAACACGCCAGTTAGATGTTCCTCGGTTACGCAGGCATCAGCGGCTCCCAACCAGGCACAAGGATCCGAGTGTCTTGACTCAGGGTTGAAGGTAGGGAGACGCAAGCTCGCATTTGGTCGGCGCATCACGTCGATCAGAGATGAAATTAGATTATTTTGTTCCATTATCAACGAAGTCCGTTTTTCTGTTTCCGAATTATTATCCCCAGTAGTAGACGAACATACATCAGTGCCATTAGCTTGTTGGTTTATGGTTAGCGATCTGTTTTCGTTCGTTAAATTATAGGTGATCTTAACGGCCGGGGCGTTAGGGTCGTCGTAAGCTGCTTGAAATTGTGGGAAATGCACTTCGAAAGACATGTTAGATTAACACTCAGATAGATTACAAGATTACAAAGATAGTTGACAAAAAATAGCAGTAAATCACCATAAAATTAAATAAGATATTAATCGATTTGTGCGCGGAACACGATTGCGTCAGACGCAGCGGGAGTCGGGCGCGTCACTGCCTACAGCGCAGCGGCAGAAAATTGCACTAACGTTCGTTCCCGACGTGTCCCGCCAAATAAAATGTATCAATATTAAAAGGGTGCTCTCGTAAATAAATCAAAATGAAAAATTGTCTATCATGAATTGCGAAAGTCTGTATTATAGCAATAATAATGAACTTATTTTATATAGAGTATTTTAAGTAACTTTTAAAGACTATACTACTAAATGAAAATGCTAACTGAGCAAAGAACAACACATTATACCCCTCCACAGAAAAACTGGCATCATTATTCCTAATTTTGATAGTGACATCTGTCAATTTAGTTCATTTTATTACAAAAACGTCTTAAGAGGGCAGCATTGTGCTCCTACTAAGTATAGGTAACAAAAATAATTCTTGATCATTGTATTGGCTTTGTATCATTCTATCTGTTACTTGCATTCGCACTGCATTACTTAACCGTCTTATATTTAGACACACAAGAATCATACCATAAGAACAAACAAACAAATTTTCACATTTTTGATGTTAGTAAGGAAAAATATAACAAACTGTAGACAAGTACTACATCATACATCGAAATATTGATCGCGTCACAGGACCTGCGCAGTGCAGACAGAACATTCTAGAACAAGAATTGTGCACTCAATGCGACGCCTGCAGAAGGTCCACGTCAGTTAAGACCTTATATAATGAAATAGCTTCTGCCAGTCCACGGTTTTTTGAGATATTAAGTAGATTATGTGTTATTCCAAATAATAATCTAGCCCCTATTCCAAATTTCATTCCAATTCTTTCAGTTGTTTTACCGAGAAAATACACAAACATACACACACACATGGATATAATATAACTGTCAAACACCAAGCGGTCACCGGTGACCGCAACCTATTGTTCTTTAATTGTGTCTATAAATACGGTACTCGACGAGTTAAAAAATTCCGTGATAAAAAGGCGTGATGTTATGTTATGTGTAATATAAAATCTACATAAACATCACGCCTTTTATCCTCGAAAGGGTACGCAGAGGTGTACATTATACCACTGTACAATGTAACACCCACTTTTAACTATTTATGTTATGAGTCCCATGTAATAGGGGGTGAGCCTATTGCCATATACCGGGCACAATTCCAGACTCCGTGCTACTACTCAGAATTTTTAAAAAACCCAATATTTCTTTGTCCGACCCGGGAATCGAACCCGAGACCCCTTGTCCGGTAGTTGCAATTGCGACCACTCGGCCAACGAGGCAGTAATATAAAATCTTTATATATTATATAATTCTGCTGTACGTGTGTCATTGAACTCCTCCTAAACGGTTTGACCGATTTAAATGAATTTCCTGTACGCGTTTGAATAGCGCCCTGAATGGTTTAGATTTACAAATCAGCCCGGCAGATGGCACTGCAGTCGATTTCTAGGTTATTTATCCTAAACGGCTGAACTAATTTGAATGAATTTTTGTTTATATATTCAAGTGGATATGCAGGACAACGTCTGTCGGGTGCGCTAGTTATATTATAAAATTGTAATATACAAATATAACTGATTACTACTAGATGAGGCTGTTGACGCTTCTTACCTACTAGGCAACGATTGGCGCGCCGCACATGACAACGACAGTCAACGTGTTCGACAATGACAGCGTTGCAAAACACTATGCGTCATTGCTAGATGGCGCTTTGCAAGCTACGTTAAGTCGGGCGCTTACTTCGCTAGCGCTATATAAATCGAATACATATTTTGATGGGTGAAACCCAACTTATATATTTTATTTATTTATAAGCACATGTATCATTTTACAGCACAAGCCAAAACATTATACAGTTAAACAATAAAAAATATTACTTATTTACTGTTTTACACTTATGTAACAGGTATCTTATATAAAAAGTACAATAATTATAATTACTTAAAACTAATTCATCAGCCGTCCATCTTCTCACAAAATCTTACACATTCACGACATACAAATCACACTCTGATGCGGATGCCAGGAAAGCATTGATCATCATTAATGCTCGAACAAGCGGATAATTTGCATGCGCGACTATTCGCATTACTGGGACAGCCAGTTTTTTTTTTTTTAAGGGGGGTAAATCATCGAATGACTGCTCCCGCCTGGGTGAGGCGGAAGGGAGTGTCAGACTCTTACTGACTAAAAACCACCCCGTTCCTTCTCCTGCACGTCGAGCCGGAGCCCCGGTTACCCGTTAGGTTCTCCGCGACTCATTGATCATCGTTAATGCTCGAACAAGCGGAGAATATTGCATGCGCGACTGTTCGCGTTACTGGGACAGCCAGTAAGGGGTGACTACGTGGCCTAAGCTGATGGACCTTGGGTAAGGCGAGAGTGAGGGTAAGACTCTTACTGACTAAAGTAAACACCATCCTGTCCTGCTTCGAGAAACGGTAAAATTGCGACAACTCCATTAATTGAACCTTCTGAATCTCTCGTTTAAATACGAATAGTATACCAATAACTGCATACAGATATATCACACACGCAAGTACTAATTGTGACCTGCGCAGTGCAGACAGAACATTCTAGAAGAAGACTTGTGCACTCAATGCGATGATTGCAGAAGGTCTACGTCGTTCATAACATAACATCACGCCTTTTATCCTAGGCAGAGGTACACACTACGGAGCATCAAGTTATTTCAATTAACCCTAAATTAGGCACTTATGAAACGTCAAAAATTTATTTGTCCGTCCGTCTGTCGTCAGTGTAGCTAGGCGCTCGTTCCAAAATGTAGTTTCGAATGGAGAAGGACGAGCAAGAAACTCCATAAATACCAGACCACCATAAACTCCTTATGCCCTATAGAAACGCGGTCAAAACCGCTTGCAAAAGGTAGTATTCATTAAAGTATTTAAATATTTTAATGTGATCCCTCTGCATCAATTCTGCATTGTATTGCATTCGCACAAAGAGGGTTCAACGGCTGGACATAATAACTTAGTTTCACACATCTCCACGCCCTATAATTTCATAAAGGGGTAGGCACTGAGCTCATAAAATCGGGACTAAGTAGTGGTGGATAATAAGTGCACAGCGTTAGCAGTTAGTTACTTAACTCTTTCTTAGAAATGGCGCTGATTTAATAAATTATATTTACGACTAGCTACTTCTGCGCGGTTTCACACGCTCTGCTCAGCTCCTATTGGTCGTAGCGTGATGTTTTATAGCCTATAGCCATCCTCGATAAATGCGCTATTCAACACAAAAAGAATTATTCAAACCAGACTTGTAGTTACGGAGATTAGCGCGTTCAAACAAACAAACAAGCAAACCGGATGTCGCTCCAATCCGACAGATGTCGCTACTGAATTGTAAACAACAAATCTTCTATATTACGGTGTCACAACCAATTCGTAAAGTAATTGCATTGTATATACATATGCTCATCGAGCTGTACAGAACCAATTTATCATGGACCTGCGTTATATAATCTTTACGTACATTCAACGATCAGCTTATACTGGTTGTGTTTAGCTTGATTTGTATTAAGTTCTCAAAGTATTGATCGTGACATGCGCAGTGCAGCTAGACAGTTCTAGACTAGACTTCAACTTATGTACTTAGTGCGCCGCGCAACGCCTGTCGGGCAGGACGTGTCGCTCTTTCGCGGCACCCCGCGGTGCTAGGCCTCCGCCCTCGTTTTCGAAGCTCCAGAGCTGATATTACAGGTCGGTATTTTTTTTATTTTTTTTGACACTGGTTTTCATAAAAAAATCTTGGCTTTTTTAACATGATTATCTAAATATAAAAATTAACAACAAGATAATTCAATAGCAAAGAAATTCAATCAATTTGGGGGTAAATCTGTACGTTGTTATAAGTCGAGGGGTAGCGGGGTAAGGGTGAAGGGGTTCTATTCATTTGGGCGTGGTCAATCGATCGATGAAATTACTGCTTTGTGGCATCATAGCAGTTTTGATATTTATAGAGGTTTCATTTTCTCTACCATCGTTATACAGGCAAGGGTAAAATATAAATTTACCTAATAACTTTAAAGTAATAGAGCAAAGGTAAGGGATAAGGGATAAGGAATAAGGGATAAGGGATAAGGGATAAGGGATAAGGGATAAGGGATAAGGGATAAGGATAAGGGATAAGGGATAAGGGATAAGGGATAAGGGATAAGGGATAAGGGATAAGGGATAAGGGATAAGGGATAAGGGATAAGGGATAAGGGATAAGGGATAGGGGATAGGGGATAGGGGATAGGGATAGGGGATAGGGGATAGGGGATAGGGGATAGGGGATAGGGATAGGGGATAGGGGATAGGGGATAGGGGATAGGGGATATGGGATAGGGGATAGGGGATAGGGGATAGGGGATAGGGGATAGGGGATAGGGGATAGGGATAGGGGATAGGGGATAGGGGATAGGGGATAGGGGATAGGGGATAGGGGATAGAGGGGTAGGGGATAGGGGATAGGGGATAGGGATAGGGGATAGGGGATAGGGGATAGGGGATAGGGGATAGGGGATAGGGGATAGGGGATAGGGGATAGGGGATAGGGGATAGGGGATAGGGGATAGGGGATAGGGGATAGGGGATAGGGGATAGGGGATAGGGGATGGATAGGGGATAGGGGATAGGGGATAGGGGATAGGGATAGGGGGTAGGGGGTAGGGGGTAGGGGGTAGGGGGTAGGGGGTAGGGAGTAGGGGATAGGGGACAGGGGATAGCGGATAGGGGATAGGAAACAGGGGATAGCGGATAGGGGATAGGGGACAGGGGATAGGGAATAGGAATACAGGTACGGTACGGGTGATAATTAGGGTATAGTTGTTAAAGGTAAAGGGTACGTATAGTAAGGGTAGGTAGTAAAGTTTATTAATAATTGAAA